GACGCATATCAGCTCCATCGCAGCATCGTATCAAGAGCAGCTCTGCTAAAAACGCGACAAGTCTATTTTTGCTGCTCTATGCTTCCAATGCACATCAATCCACACAGAGAAGATAGTTCTAGACAGGAAGTCAAGCACGAAAACTGCGCATGTCATCCGGTCTTTAAAAATGAACACCATATGCGGACTCCCGACTGTGTATCAGTTCGTGTAGATGAGAAAAACTTCCTGGTTATGGATTTATCAGTAACACTGAACAATCCGATGGCCAATCCCTGATCCATGTGGACCCCAACAGGACTTTTATCCGCTAACTCTGTCTGAAGGTAACAGCACAGCATAAAGGAACATAGTTTACTTTATTAAACACAAGTAAACCTACAAAAACCGAAACTGTAAAATCACGTTGCTTTTACACATACAGTAGAGGCTCAATGGTCACTGAATTAGATCCAAATTAGCAGGAAATCGACCACAGAAAGACCAAACAACCTGTTGTGAGCATGTTGTTTCCTCTATACTGAGCCCAGCTGACCAAGGCTGCTCTATATTACTGCTACATTCCAAATATGCGGATCCTGTATGTTTTTGGCTTAAGTTGTGTATAACTTATTTGGTTTATTCGTGTGTTGCAGTCAGGAGCAGGAGAACTCGATCCCCAGCGGCGCTCCAGAGAGTCTGACCTTCAAGGAGCGCCAGCGTCTCTTCTCTCAGGGGAAGGAGGTTTCCAACAAGGTCAAGGCTTCACGCAAACTCATGGAGCTGGAGAACGAGCTCAACACCAAGCAGTAGACCGAGCCTTTAATGTCCCAGCGCCACCTTAAAAAAAAAAGCCCACAACATCACCACGGTAACATTAAGGTGCTCCTGGGACACACCGGGGTCGAGAGAGGGCCGGCGCTCACTTTCCCAACCACTGACCGTCTCCTCCTGTTTGTGTTCTTTTCCACTCTTTTATTTTTTTATTTTAATCGATGAGTAACTGGACCATTCACTTTTTTTCGACGTAGCTATATCGTTGCAATAGAAGAGACATTTATGGCTTCAAATTTCTGCCCCCTCTCGTTCCGGTCTGTCAAAGATATATAATGATAAAGCACTGTAAAAAAGTTTTAATTGTATGTAGTGAGAATTTGAGAATCACACGACAAAGGGGGATATATTTTTGTTTATAAAAAGGTTCTCGGGGCAAGGGGATGAAGATAGTTTTATTCTCATTTTAATTTTTTTTAAATAGCTCACTGAGATATGAACTATTTTACAACCTTTTTTTAGGCTTTTTTTTTTTTTTTCGTCATGTATTTGGTTTTAATTCCTTCACGCTAGCAGATTCGCCCGTGGTTCAGCTCCAGACCGATCCTTTTTTCTTTTATTTTCTTGTTTGTAAGATTAAAATTCTCAGCGAGTGGAAACACTGTTATTTCATTCCATAGCAAGAAAGCATGGGAATTAAATTTTGGGGATACTTTAGGTGAACTCTAAGGAGGAACCCACAGTCCAGAGAAGGATCTCAAAGTGCACAACATTACTGTAAATATCTGGGTCCACAACTGTCTCTCTTTAACTACTGTAGAAACCTGCCAGGCTACTAAAAAACTGCAAACTAATGTGATTTAACCGGAAGATCTGCTAAAACTGGACTGCCCCCAACCCCCCGCTGTCAGTGGAGTTAAATTTTTAAATGTCTTGCCCCGACGTGAGTTAACTATGATTTTACTTTCTTTTAAATCTAATATTTTTGCAGAGTTGTGTGAGATTAATTTGACTGATTGTTCCCGAAATTCAAACAGCAAGAGGATTTCTTTCACTCACAATGTGATTAATGTTGGTTTTCACAATAAAAAAAAAAACAAAAACTACTCTTTTAAGTCCTAGTTTGCTTTACAGATATTTATTTCAAACCTTGTGGAAAAAAAAACTTGCACAAAAACTTGTTTTTGATATTGAATACGTGTCTGCAAACTGTGTGGAGAAGTGGATTACATTTGGGACCTCTCATACTGTGGTAATAGTCTGTGTTTTTCTGCGTTTGGCGCAGACAAGTTCTGTTTTTACACCAGCTGTAGTTCGGGGAGATCCAGATGGAGTCAAGGTGACAAAATTGTGGTTGTATAGATATATATATATATATTCACACACACAATTTAAATAAACATATTCACCAAAACTGCTGCTCTGATGATGTAAAGAAGAAACACCTGAACCACCCCCTGAGTTTTGAATCCAAGAGTTCTTATAGTGATGTTTCAGATGCATCTCTCCTCTGCGGTTTGTTTGAGTGACTCCATCCTGTGTGTGGATTTGATTTACTTCCTCTCCTTCCTCTCTGCAGGAGCCTCCACTGAAACACATCCACATGATGAGATCAGAAGTTGTTCTGATAAATGACCTGTACTATCACTGCAGATGTGTCCCCCCCAAACAAAAACGACTCCTTTTTAGGTTTCAAAATGAACTGAATCATTTAAATGGTTTCATGTTTAGCCTTTTGTAAATCATTAATAAATACAGATTTTTCAACAGTGCAGGCTGAAAGTGTGGTCTTTTTTCATTGATGTCAGACATGTTTTATCCACAGGCAAGATGTCCTCCCAGGGTTGGAAGCATAGACTGAATATACTATGAAAAACTTGGTTCCGCCTTCAGCCAGTATACAGATTTGAAGCCAAAAAGCTCTCAGTGATTCCGCGTTTTTTCTCCACTTCCTAAAACCAACATTGCATAGTAGCATCGTACGCACTCGACCACTGGCACAGTAGCATTGTCCGTGCTCCACTTGTACAGTAGCGTTGAACGTATTCAGCAGGAGAATCGCAGAGAGTCGCTATGATGCCGCTTAGCTCAAACAGCGTATCCCCTGGGTGAGCCAAGTAATCTTCGTACACCCATAGGCTGTATCAAGTGTCAACTGTAGAAAACATGAACCCCCTAAAAATTTTTAAAAATGGAGCTGTACAGAAAAAAGAGGACTTGAGCACAAACCCTCCTACAATAACTACCTATCAACATCTCAAGCAGGGGGGAGAAAAATGTATATTCTGTGTAATAAATTTCCTAAGTTTGTCCACAGCTCCATAAGGATTGCTGGAGGAGGCAGAATTTATGACCTATACTGCAGCCCATCAACAGAGGGTGCTGTGCTTGGAGTGGCTTCACCCAGCGAGGAGGCAGACGGCGTCCGTTCTATATACAGTCTATAGTTGGAACTCTTGCTGCAAAGGGAAATATAAAGGTGAAAAAAAATATTATCCAATAATCCTGTTGCAAATGGAGTTAAAAAAAAAAAAAAAAAAAGAAGAGTTACTACTGACTACAGCCTCACAAATAGCAGTTTTTTTTATGATGTGAATGTTCACAATAAATATGTTGCAAAAGTCTGAATTTGTTAGCAAATAGAAGCATTTTACTCAGAATATGGACATTTTAAGTGTTGGATAAAGGCCTGAGTATAGTGTCTATGCTTTTGCACAATTTTAGTGCAGTCAGATTTTTGCCAAAGCCAGCTGTGACCCACATACAGATCAGTGGATGGCAGTGGTGGTGATTTTTTAGATATCTTTATGTTTGGATTAAGAGACACAGGAATTGTGTTTTGACGAATAATAGCTAAGTATAAGTTTAAGTTTTGTTTTTTTAGAGTGTTAAGTTGCTTATTTACTGTGGTTGTTCTCTGTTATCACACCTGTCCTGATATTGAAAACATGTTCTTTAAATGCTTACTTTTAACAATTTGTAAATTTAATGTACTCCTTACTTGCTTATGAACACTATTTACAGGAGGATAGGCATATATTTCTGCATTTTTCAACTCTCACTGGCTTTCTACTTTATTTGGCTGCTCTTCGTTAGCAAAATACTCCTAATCTTTGTTGAATTAATGTTTTTCCTGACACAGCAATGATACTTTACCTTTTCTGCATTTTCAGGCATTCTTAAAAGCGTTCGGACCGTTATTTTGAAGGACTTCAACCATCGGTCTTACATTTTGTATGAATCGTTTACTTTTTACATTTATGTTTTACCTTTGCAACAGACTGAACTGAACCTCATTTAAACGCACCTTACTGTCAAATTTACACAGGCCTAGCCCCCTTTACCAGGAACAGGGAATACTTAAAAGTCCCACTCTGATCTTTTTTTTCCCTTGTCCAAAGTTCTCTCAGTGGTCTTCTCACTTTCTTCTTCACGCTTACTTGGAGCCTAACATCGCCGGTGCAGCAGAAGTGGCAGATACTATAGGAGCTATTCAGCTCTCTAACACTAATGTCTTCAGGGCAATAATGAAAGTTAATATCATAATTAGCTTTCTTACAAGCATTGCAATACACTACCGCACACACTTGTTCCTTGATCATCCTCTCTACATCTCCAGGTCTGGCCGCTGGGGTTGGAGCTTGGATTTGTGACATCTAAAATCCTACTGTATCTGAACCTGCCTTTTGGGCCAGCCAGAGGTTTACAGTTATTTGAATGCAGATATACTCAGAAATCCAATTTTGCACTTAATTTTCTCATGTCCTTTTGCATCAGAAAAAAAATGCTGTATGAACATATAGACAACAAGAAAAACATGATTGTCATAGGAGTGGGTCTCTAAAAAGCATGGCAGAACATTTAACAGTATTCATAGCTCAACAGTGCCTCTTAGTGGTGGGGCCTGAGCATGAATTTTAACAAGCTTATTTCATCATTTTGTTAATTACTTTTATCCATGTCCACCAAATTTTTTTGAACTTACAGAGCTGACAATGCTTTATTTATTAGCATTGACCCCAACTATAATAACTTCCATCTCTCTACCATTTGTGAAACTAAAACAGGAACACTGAGGCTGTCACTTTCTTAAAAAAGTCTTCATAACTTAAATTCACCCTATACTAAAAAACACCCTGAAAGAATCAAACCCAACTGTTAGAAGGTCACACAGGTCAGTTAAATTTTAATTTGAAAAACAAAACATAAAAAAGTCACTTAAATTGTAAACAAATAAAACAAACATGCAGACTACTCTAAAAGCTTTCATTCTAAATTCAACAAAATATATGACTGACTACAACAAAAGCAAATTGTACACATATCCACCAGTCATCAACATATAGAAACACCTTCTTTAACTCAGATTAACATGTAAGATTGCTCCTTTTTTAATACAAAACCATGGCGCCGCTAGCTGAACAAATCTCAATAAAGCACTTTAACAAAATAAAATATTTTACATAAGAACACACAAACACAATAAAATTTCAAGGTAATTAAAAGTAACATTTTCAAACCTTAGATGTCGTAAATCTCTATTTTTTTTTTTCACTGTGGCTACAAAGTTCACTCTCAAAACGCAGACATGCAGAGGTCCTTCAACCAAAGAATAAAGCAAACAGCTTCCCAGCCGAGTCATCTAAAGTTAGTTGGATGGGAGGCCTCAAGCAGACCACCTTCACATCAGGAAGCCTGTAAAAAGGAGAGAAAACAGATTAACAGGACTATAAATGACATCATGTCCCACCTTAACATTTACCAAATAATTTCTTGCATGTCTTTCATGTATTGACATTTTTCCCACCAGTACTTGATCAGCCTTCCCATGTCATTTAAGTATCTAAACTTAAGTGTAACAAATTCATTTTGAGCCATTGTCAGGTAAACTGTCATGCTTACATTTTCTGGATCTAGGCATTAAGTCCAGTGGCATCTTCTCCTCTGCTTCATCAGTAAACTCAACCCAAGGATCTGACTTCCCATCAGAACTGACATTGTCCTGAGCATACTCTTCATCAATGTTAGAAGCTTCACACAGTCTCTGTTCCTGAAACCTAAATGTATCACAAATAAAGGAAGTTTATGAGAAGCTTCAAAGAAGGGTCTAGCAACTCAGAAAAATACATCAAATATCAGCTCAAACACTGATACTGGTATCCACAGTGGCGTTCACAACTGAACATCTTTTTCGCATTGTATAAAGAATCAAATCAATTGTGGACTATGTTCTTTGAAAAACATCAGTAAAACTTTTTTATAAATCAGCAGGAGCATACCTTAGTCCTAGCATGATGTCTGTGTAACTGGCATGTCCAGCATCCACCAGCTCTTGGGCAACATGGAGTCCATCAGCCAAAATGTCCACCTTCCAGTGTGTATTTGACACAAACTCCCTGAAGAAGATGTGGAGGTTCTTCTGGTACAAACATTGCTGAAAGAAGACTGCTGCCTCATCAGTCCAATGTCCATCCACTTGCACTGGCTTGACCCCCCTCAGGATGCAGGGGTATGTCATCTTCGGGAGGTTTGTTATCTCCTCTGGAAGAATCTTCAGCTTTGAAATGTTGTCATACGGCACGTATTCATAAAGGCAATAATCCACCAAGTACAGAACCACCGTGGAGTCCAGGCTTACAATTTCAGCCCTGCACCATTTGTCCTTGGACTGGGATTTTATCAGGCAGCATTTGCCAGAAACAAGGTGGGAGTAAGGAAGAGGAGACATCTGCTCAGGGAGGTCATCCATTATCACAGGCACCTTGTTCATCATGGGAAGCAAGTCTTCCAAAACAACACAAAACTCATATGGAGTCGTCACTGCGGCAGCAAACCCAGAGTATGCTTGGTCAATATCAACAGGAGCAAAGACAAGTTGCTGAAGATGGCCTGTGTCTGTGTTCAACTGCAGTTTTCCTCCTTTGTCATTCCTGGTGTCAGTAGCTGTTGAAGTGATGTCCTCTTTCTCCTGCTGTGAGGTTGGAGTAATAAGGAACTGTCCGTTTAAAACTATCTCAACCATCCAAAGATCATCAGCATCTAAATAACTCGCAAACACCAACTTTACTTCTTTGCCTATCATTGATTTGAGGGTTTCACATACCAGTTTGTCAGCACTCTCTCCCTCACCAAAACTGAGGCAGTTCACCTTGCATAAAACTGCAAGGTTATGGATTTTTTTCAAGTCACCACAGCTTTGTCGAATTGAACTATTTGGGATTTCTTCCAGTCTGCCATGATCTACCAGAAAGACCCAGCACTTCCCCCGGTCTACACCTCGAATGACAGCCCTGTGCCACGGCCTGTCCTTGTCTACCTGGGCCAAACACTGGAGGTCTTTCTTGACATCCTCCACAGCCATCATCTTGCACTCATGAAGATTGTCAGCTATGTGATTTTCCAGTGCAGCAAGTACTTTACTTGCCTTGTTTAGTCTGACATAAAAACTGCCGTCACTCAGGACTGACAGAATTGTGGCATTTTCGGTGTCTTTAGCTTGAATAGTTTTCGGAATGATTGCCCGATCACTCTTTGCTCTGACAAAGGACTTCACTTCTATTTTTACCAGACTCTTCTTTAAACCAGTTATGTTTCTGGTAGTTGTTCTTCTGCGGCGTCTGCAAGGAATCACCCCCACTTTGGGTGACCATGGCTTCAATGGTGGTTCTAGGGTCATGGCTGTCTCTATCACAGTAGGCAGTGTCTTTTGGGGTGCCATTGTTCTGCATTGGATCTCTGCTTCTGTAAAGCTGTTCTCTTCACAGGATCTCACATTCTCTTTCACTTCCAATTCACTCTCAGGGGTCACCCTTTCTTTTTCGGTTTTGGTACTGCTTGCAACAATGGTTTCAATTGCAACTGGAAGGCCATTTGCTTCTTCAGGTATCTCAACCTTGACTTTCCACCAAGATTCACACTCACTGACAAACTCAACCAAGAGGGGCTTCTCCATGACAGCTTCCATGAAAGACTCGTCATTTTCATACATGCTGGCATCCAACAGAGAGCATGGTATGCTTAATCGATGCTGAGAGAGGAATTCCACTGGTATGGAGTAGATCTTCTCCTTCCCAATGACTGCTGAGTTTCCATAGTCCACAAACTCAACTTCGAGGTTTGTTTTGCAGTCCTTCACAACAGCACGATACAGAGCACCATCTTCTTCATACTCCGCTAGAACAAGGCCATTACTTCTCAAAGGTGACACAGTCTTTAAGGAATCTCTAAAGGTATTTGAGTTGAGATCTTCGGCCATTTTCAAGATGGTCGGTTCATCCTTGGACAGCTGAAGGAAAAAATTGTTGACTGAGTCGACATGGCTGACAAAACACTGAGCCCTGAAACCAGCACAGACTTCCCCTTTAGGCAAAGATGAGAGCTGAGGAATCTTCATTTCTTCTGAAGATTGTGGATAGTTGATTTCTGGTTTTGTGCCAAGCTTCTCTCCTTCTTGTACTTTGGAGTTGTCCTGGGGTTTCACAGGTACACAACTTTCTGTGTTACTTTTCATATTATGGTTGGCTTTTGTGCTCTTGAACTGATTTTTGCTGCGAGCATTTTTTGTGTTTTCAGTCTTTTTACAAGTTTCCCTCCCAACTCTTCTGCCAATGTGGGCCTTAGATGTGGGAGATTTTGGTAACTGGACCTTGTGTGGATTTTTGCTCTTAAAGGAACCTTTTTTGCATCTTTCCTGGAGGGTTTCATTGTTCATCCTGGTGTTGCTTGTCTCAAAACTCACAACTGGTTTTGGTTGGGGTTGAAGACTGAGAATAAGCTCTTTCACCTTCTCGTTGATGTTTACATCTCCATCAAACATTTCAACATCAACTGAGCCATCATCACTCTTTCCAGCGATGATGGCTCTCACTTTCTTGTTGAGAATGGTGCTGTCAAGCCATTTCTTCACATCTGGAAAGAATTCCCCCTTGGACACTGAAGCAAGGCTACATCTCACAGCCTGCATGGGAGTGTACAACAACTCAACTGAGTCTCTGGGGATGAACAAGACACGAGTCTTCTCTAATATGCTAGTGTTTCCATAATCCACAAAAAACACAATGAGATGCAGAGGTGACTGAACGGGATATGCCGAACACCTGTACCATTTGCCATCCAAGTATTTTGCTAAACAAAGCGTCTCCACAGCAGCTCTTGTGCTGTCTTGTGTCATTTTTTCCCTCTGCTCTTGGATTTTGTTCTCAAGCTCTTCAATATTTTTGGAGTTTCTCTCAAGGTGGCAGTAGACCTCACAATGGTTGCTTACATGAGTGATGAAAACCTGTTCTTCTTTTCCAGGAGCAAGATCAAATGAGGAGTAGGTAAAAGACTCAGGAAACACAGTTGAAAGATGCTTTGCTGAGATCGTCACTTGTCTTGCCAGCACCTTCTCCAAGAGGAGTTTTGAGATGCTTTGTTTGGTTTGGGGGTTGTGAAGGTCGACAACATTGTACAGTAATTGGTTCATGAAAACCAGCTGTGAGACAACTGTACATCTTAGGTCACTGGTGCTAATGAAATCCTTCATTAAGTTAAGCGCCTCTGGGCTCCAATCTCCTGAATACTTGGGATCAGCAGGTTCAATGATGTTGTACAGGCTGCATTTAAAAGCCTGCCCTTCCAAATGGACAAACTGTGGCATTATTGCCTGCAGATTGTGCTCCTTGGTTGTGATGGTAAGGCCGTAGTCAACCAAAATCACTTTGACATGGTCTTTCTGCTTTTCTATCAAACAGGCCCTATACCATCTTTCATCCTGAGCTGACTTTGCCACACAACATGACTCCTCTGGTTTGAGGGGGGCTCTGTGAGTTGAGTAATATTGTTGAATTTCATCCATTAGTCCCTCCAAGTCTCGAACCTTCTCTGCAGGTTGGCACCAGAAATCTGATGGAGTGCTGATGTTACTGCACTGCACAGCGAAGTCATACCCTGGCCTGATGTCTAATGCTTTGAAGCTGACCAGGGGTTGGGACTTTTCAGTTTTCTTTTCACCAGTTTTCCCTTCCTCTTTACATTTCCCCCACTGCCTGCTACACCCATTCATCTCTGTTGCTCTGTCAGATCTTGTGTAACTGGATTTTTTTCCTGCGCTTTTCTGCACCACAGGCTCAGTGGGAATATTGTTCCAGAATTCAGCTTGTTTTGAGGAGATCAGAAGCTGGGTGATATTTTGATTGTTTTCTCTCTCCACCTCACAGAGATCCACAACAAACTTGTTTTTCCTCATCTGGACAACATGGACTAACAGAGCTTTGTTTAAGACGGTTTGTTTGAAAAAGTCAGAGGTGGCGCTGGACCACTCATCATCCAAAGGAACAACATTGACAAGTGTGCAGCAAAAGGCAAATGCTGATTTCCTGGCAAATATCTGGGGTATCTTCTTGATCAACATGTGTGGCACTTTCTCAGTGTTCCCAAAATCGATAAAGAGAACTTCAGCTCCGTGTTCGAGAGTGTCTGTTACTACACCCCTATAGAAATGCATGTCTTTTTCATAAACTGCACAGCACATGGTCCCAGGCACAGGATTCAACAGTACATCTTCATCTAGCTTTACTTGACTGAAATGTTCTGTCATTTTTCTCATCATTTCTTCAAACTCCTCATTGCGCTTTTGTGTTCTGATCCAGAACTGGTTGGGATTATGGACATGCTCAACATACCCCAAAAAGACAGAGCCTACTTGGATCTTTTCTTCTTCAACTGTCTGACCCAAAGTTTTTCTCACGATTGCCTCAACAGTTAAATAGCTACCCTGAGTTAATTGTTCTTCCTTCCCAAAAACAGACTTATCCTTCATGTCAGGAATCACCTGAATAAGCTCTGTTTTTTGTGTATGACTATCTTCAGCACCGATCACTGTGATGGAATAGACATGCTTTTCTTCATCAAAACTTCTGATGTTTACTTCCAATACCTTTCCAAGCAAGCCTTCCTTTAGGAAACTTCGCTGCTGAGTTTTGAGGGCCTCATCCTGGTCAGTGAGGGATGAGAGTGAGCATGGGAACGCCATGATGGGTGTTGAGGAGATATCTGATAGCAAACTGTGGATATTCTCAACTTGTACAGATTCAAAGAACCCATAGTCAATGAACAAAACTCGAACTTGGGCATTCACTGGGAGATACTGGACAAATCCTCTGTACCATTTTCCATCTTTTCTCTTGACAGAACAAAGCAAGCCAAGGGTTTCTGGAGTCATTTGACTGTGATTTTTGGTTCTGAATTCAAAAACCCCGGCCAGCTTCTTTGACATTTCCTGAAGATCTTTTTCCTTATCAGCCATCTGACAGTAAAACAGCCCATCGTTGACAGCAGCAGTCACACGCACTTTGACTTGCAACCCACTGGGCATTGTAGGTCCACAGAATGACACAATTTGTTCATGTGCCCGGAAATCAGGTGGTTTAAAACTATACTCTTGTCCTCTTGGCTTTTCAATGAGTAAGTCAGGAACTGGTGCAATGATTTGTTTAAGACACACTTCTGTGAGCATCTCAACCAAGAAGAGGAAAGTATCAGAGTCCACATGCCTCCCAAACCCATGTCTAACCAGGTCTATGTTGATGTCAGGGGCTTCAAGCAGTAGCACTTTGTGGGGAAGAAGGGCTTGAATGTAACCTGTGACACTTTTTCCTATCAGGTTTGCAAGGTAGTCCTGCACTACAGAGTGAGGACAACCTTGAAGCAGAAGCACATTTGCAAGAAAGCCACACACTATCTTGGGAGGCAGGATGAAAAGGTCACTTGAACAGGAGGATATGTGGGCAATGTTTACGCTCAGCACATAACCATGATCTATCAGGAACACATCGAACAAGCCCTCTGTTTGGTTCTGAACCCTTCCTCTATACCATCTGGCATTGAGCACATCTTCGACAAGGCAGAACTCTCCAATACCCACTACAGCTTTAGTCTTTGGCATATTCTGTATTTCTCCTTGCAAGATACTGTAGTCAAGTTCACATGTGGTAAGGTACTGTCCCTGGAAGTGTATTAGGGTTGCTTCAGGGTTCCAATCCAGGTGAGTTAACTTGAGGTTCACTGGCCAAAGAGCACATGGTCCAGAATCTTCAGAAGTCTGAGACCTGCAAATTTAAATGACTTATTTCAGTAATGTGTGTACTTTTTTAATTCTTAGGTTAAAGCTATTTACTACAAGGCCTCAGAGCCAAGCACAGAGCAAAACTGGGCCTGTGCTGAGCCCTCCCCGTTCCTAATATAACATAAGTTCAAGAGATTATCCCATTAATGCCAATCAAAATTGATTCTGACACTTAAAATTAAACATGTTTTTGTAATATCGCAATTTTTAAACACATAGCAGGTTATGCAGTGCATTGCAGTAATATGCCATTGGCACTAGTTTTTCTGTTTAGTTGTGTGACTTTTGTCTGCAGGTACTTTCATCACAACTGGACTTTCACAGACAGAAGATATTATGGGCTGCAAGGAAAACGTATTATAAATACGGCCACACCAAAAGCTCTGTGGAAGTTTTTTTTTTTTTTTATCTATAATCATTTTAAGTGGCATTGCATTTACTTATTTCATGATTTCCTTACACTGTATTTGATTTTGTTTATACAAATGATTGAAAAAGTTCAGATAAATACACACAGAAATACTGACAGTTTCCAAGGGAATGATAAATCAGAATAAAAACCTAAATAGAAATCTAATAAGCTGTTACTTTTGAAATCATATCATAAATCAACTTTATCTGTAAACTTGAAAACCAATCAATAACGCATTTACAATGTAATCAAAGAGTAATGTTCATAGATGTGAGATTCTGTTACTTACTCCTGATCTTCGGAGCCCACCATGGTGGCAGCGTCAATAGCGGTCACCTCCTAAACAAAACCTGAAGAAAAATTTCAGAATAAACTTCATGTACTTACCCGATTGTAATTAGTTTTAATAATACAAAACAGCTCTGATGTTATTCTGCATAGCATTTACTCACAATGAATAAGGAATATGCTCAACCTACTCCGAACTTTAAAGTGTAATTGATATTATATCCTTTATTTTACCTGAGTTTAGCTTTTTTTGGAAAATACTTTCCTCTTTCATATGGTTGCAGTCTATTGGGCAGTTATGAAACTACATTTCACTTGATATCATAAACAAAACTGTGGACTCCAGTAAATAGGCTATCTTTTAAATGATCACAGAGGAGTCTTGGTATTAAATGATTAAATATGCTGTTTTTTTTAATCCATAGTCACCATACTTTGTAATCATTAACAATTCTACATAATATCTACACAATGGCCCTCATTTATCAATCTTGCGTAGAACTGAGCGCAGATGTGAGTGCAGGATTCATCATACGATAGGACACACTTGAGATTTATGAAAGGGTTCATATCTGACCAATCCCAATTTACGTATGATTGGGTCTTGATAAATGTGGCGGCTGAAATCGATCGTCATTAATTTTTCCGAGCTGAGAGTGGATATCCTCACATCTGTGGAGGAAACTAACAAGGATTTGCTCTTTGAAAGCATCAAAACTGGTATAAAAGCAGTCCAGAAAACTCCTGTCTGGAGCAGGATTATGGTGGCGGTGAACAGTGCTGTCGCGGAATAGCGGACAGTGGCTGAAGTTTGAATAAATCATTAGTCAATAAGTTGCTCATGATGATAAATTAATATCTCAAACATGCCTCATATTTTTATTGCCATGACATAGGGTACATTGCACCTATTATTGAAAGTATTTAGTTTTAATTTGTTGCGTCTTTGTTATGTAGAGCAGACTGGAGAGTCTGACAGAGGCTAAACAAAAATAATTATTAACGTCACCAAACGGTGTGTTGCTGCCCCTGTGGCACATTTTTATGGATTTCTATTGGATTTTTATCACTGATTAAATAGCAAGAGCACTTTCTAAACTTATACTTTACATGTCACCACACCACCATGTACACCACCTTTGTGGAGTCTCTCCTCGTTATCGTTCTCCGGGCATCGGGTCCTCCCGTTGGACCGGCACAGCCAACGGCACTCCATTCGCCAGTGCAACATTATGTAAAACTGTACTGGCCTAAATGATGTCCCACAGGCTTTCAGGAAATGTACAACAACATCCCCACTACTGGGCCAAGACAGAGACACCTGCCTTTTAGGAGTCAAACGCAGCGTTCCACAGTGGCGGGTGTGCGTAATGTTAAAATGGCGCTCTTACTCTGTGGCAGTGTTTCTGGGCATAGTTATCAAATAGGCGTATTCACTAAGTACATAACAATTTCATTTTATTTTATTTACGTCTTAATCTTTAATGAAATCTGTCTGATTGTGCTTAATGACAAGTTTGAGGTTTGTTTATCAATTATTTTGAGACAGACATTTGCTGCACCGCAGATCCACACTGACTCAAACTCACGTACACGATGTCAGACCTGTCGTGAGATTTGGTCGTAGTGTACGCTCAAGTGCAGATTGTTAGCGCTGATCCTCACGTCAAAATTTTCCTACGCAAATTGTACGCAAGTTTTCTGCCGTACGCAAGCTTGATAAATGAGGGCCAACTGCTCCAAACTAGATTATGTTATTTTTCTCACTGTATTTTACATAGAATTGAGACGAGACGAACCCTGAGCTAACTTCGCTGATGCTAAAGCTAACCACTTGACGGTCATCCGGAGTGACTGACCGTTAAACGCTCATTAATCTCATTAATAATCTCCTTCAGTTAACAGAAGACTCTTTTGGTGTGTGACATCTTCTTAACTTTATTTATCCTACCTATATCTTACCTTTTGTACCTCCTCATGTTGCCCACCTGTCAGGTTATCGCCTCTCAGGATGCTGTGACTCGAGTAAATTGAACTTCCTGCTTCTTCCCTACAAATTAAAAGTCAGACGTTAACACGTTTTTTGTGTGTGCCTGTGTGACTGAAACGTTCAAGAAACATTTCAAGTCTTCCGAAAAAAAAACTTGTCCATTACTTTTTAGCATTTACAATGTATTCCTATCGTTTTATCTGGTAAAATTCATCAAATCAGCAACACGTCTATATTGAAGGTGTTTACATGACTTTATTTACTATCGTGATTGAAAAAAAAAATTCTAGTTGTGTAAAACTAAAACACTATTTCAAAAAGGACATCTTTATTACTATTATGGCTAAATATTAAGCAATAAAAAATAGCTGAAACATGTTGTAAGGACCTGTAATTCATTTTTAATAACCAATTGGTTGTTTTGTTAAAGGTAAGTCTCTCGATGGGCAAAAAAGAGAGAGAAAGACAGTTAGTTAATGCTTGAAACCAGTGATCATGTCAAACTTTCAAATATAGTTTTATTCCTGTTTAAATAGTTAGATCTTGTTTTTGGTTTTGTATTGTTAGTCAGGGGGGAAAAAGACATTTTATAGTGAAATTTCATATTTCTTTCTCAAAATTTCTGTAACTATTTTCTGTTACTTCTTTCATCAGTGCAGTATGAATAACCAAAAAACTCAAAGACTAATTCCTGAACATTTACTGCATCCAAACACAAAAGGATTTATATTTTGAAAAATTGTTCACTGGGATTTAAACATTCCCTAAACTAGTTAACACTGGCGCCACACATTACTGTCCTTTAAAATGCATACAAACAGTATATTTCTGAATCAAATCTTCTGCTTTTATGTTCATGTAAAAGGCCAGCTGACTGTGGGAGGCAGTATGGACGGATGGACAGATGGATGAGGGTTTTTCTGTTAATCATTAATAACCTGGATTAGCCCCAGTCTTCTGTAAATATGATGAATACATCCCCAGCTTCATTAGCTGTGCCTCCACACAGCACAGACTTATTATTAGTCGAAGAGGTTGCTCTAAGAGGTGTACCAAAAGTGTACAATATTTTCTGATTTTCTTTAAAAACTGGATTTAAAGAGGAATATGTTGACCTTTGTATCTCTATTGGACTTGTGTGAGAAAAAAGGACAGACAGAGAGGGTTTAAAGGATGTGTTCAGACCTGAGGGACAAATGAGCTGCAGTGGACTTGATTTTTCTCCTCACGACGGGCTTTTTCTTGTCCTTTGCCACCTTCTGCTAACTATTTTGACTTCTGTATTTATTTTTCATGACCATGCCGATGAAACGCAGCTGCAGTGAAACTTCAACCAGAGATGGAGTGTTTCTTATTCACTCTCTAACAAAGACTCTGTGCAGCTCACCAAAGGAGACACACACAGGCTTTAAGAAACAGACACATTTCCATCGGGAGGATGATTCTGGGATTAAATCAGGTAAAGGAACAACCACTCCTGACTCAAAATATGTGCAGTTTCCCTTTTTGGACTTCATTTTTTATAACACCTTTCTTCTGTCTTTACCATAATCTTTTTCTGTCTTTTATTCCTTGAAATGGTTTTCACAAAATCTTTAAATCTGGATGTTTTTTGTTTTTGTTTTTTTGTTTTTGTTTTTTTTTTGCGTCAAACTATCAGTCAGCACAGGTAAAAAAGTGACTGAAAATGGCCACATGGTTGTGCTAAATCCACAAGTTTGTAAGGTTTCCTTTTTTGGCCCAAAGCATAATGATTCCCACAAAAAGCAGACACAATCTAATTTCTAATATGACAGCAATCCAAAGCTTAAAGAATGACCCCATTTGCTGTTTTCTTGGTGTGGTTTGTCAGAAGCAGAAGACAGTAATGAGACTCCATCCTCTGAGGAAGACCAGGACCTGGTGGACTTCAACCCCGACCTGACCATCAAAGAGAGCATCTCATCCTCCAGGAAGACCATTAGCCAGATCATCAAGGACAAGAAAAAGCAGACCCAGCTCACTCTGCAGTGGTAAAAACAGAGATGGGGGAGCATGTACACTTTTACCTCAAAGTATCAACACCGCATGGAGAAAGCCCTCTACTCCAATTTACTGTAATGTTTAGATATATAAAGTACAGTAAAAGCACAATGCAGCCAGGAGAAAGCACTCATTCTCTCATGAAGCTTTGAGCCTGTCAAAGAATAGACTGTGGAATATTAATAACTCCAACACAACACAACATATAAGCAAATATTAAGTCAAAACTGACAAACCTCTGACATCATATACAGGAGCTGACAGTTAAGCAGCTACACTTACAGTACAGTTATGTCACAGGCGGGTGATGTCTAGCCATTCAGAGCGTGTTGTGGGCAGGACATTTAGTGAGATAGAGTAATGAGTGAAAGCAGACTCAGGGTGAAAGACACAAATTAGCACATCTTTTAATAAAATGATTTTATCATTGCTTGGAAAAAAACAACACAAAAAAATCTGCCTTAAATCTGTGTTTTGATTGTAGCGTTAGCATTACTTTGCTCCTTTCCTGTTTAGGTTTTGTTTTAAATTTAATCCAAAATCCCAAATTTATCATGCAAACTAATGTAGATATTTACAAATGTCAATATTTATGAGTGATTTTGTCATTGATGTGTCCCACCAGGCTGGAGGAGAACTACATAGTGTGTGAAGGAGTGTGTCTGCCCCGGTGTATTCTCTACGCTCACTACCTGGACTTCTGCAGGAAGGAGAAACTGGAGCCTGCTTGTGCTGCTACGTTTGGAAAGGTGAGTGGAGAAGGACTGCAGAATAAAGACGTCTGTGACAGAGCTCATGTTGATCTAACCAGAAAATTATTCTCACTTTTTTCTATTATCTGATCAGACGATTCGACAAAAGTTTCCTCTTTTAACAACAAGAAGACTGGGCACTAGAGGACACTCCAAGTAAACTTAAAATCTACTCCCAGTCTTTTGAGCAGTAGAGTAGTTGCTTCAGACATTTCTTTTTCCCCAGATGGGTGTTTGATATACTTATCTCTGTATCCTCTAGGTATCATTATTACGGGATTGGCATCAAAGAAAGCAGCGCTTACTATCACTCTGTGTATTCTGGAAAAGGTTTGACCAGGTAACAGGACATTTGATAATCTTTGTGCGGGTTACAAACTTCTCTTTTGCTTTCTTTCTCTCTTTGTTGTGAGTGTTAGTCCACAGTTAGTCCAGAGATTAACTATAGGGGGAACAATAGATTCATATTTAAAATTTTAATTAATGTTATTTTCATTGTTGCCTATGTCAACAGATTTTCAGGGAGCAAACTGAAGAATGAGGTGAGCACAAGCTGTTAAATCTGCTTTTTATGTTGTTTCCAAGTCCAAATCCAAGTTTCTGTTTGCACATTCACCCAATTGTTTGAATTAATAAAATATACTGTTTTGGTCTGCAAGGTTGCAAGTTGTGAAAAACTTTTAATGAACAGCTCTGGGATAATTCAGTCAGTGTTTGTGTCTTGTCTGTAAACCTCTTGAAATGAACTCTTCTTCTTTTAGATATTTGATCTGATGATTCCAAAACAGTATATTTTTTCTTAATCTTTAACATATTCTCATGCAGATATATGCTATCTTTCTTGATCATAAGTTGTTTCGATAAGATAAATCCATCATTTCTATCAAGGTAGAAATAGGTTAATGCGTTTGATTTCCTTCTCAGGGAGGTTTCACCAGGAAATACTCTCTGAGCTCCAAAACTGGGACTTTGCTGCCAGACTTTCCCAACGCTCAGCATCTTCTGCTGGAGGGAAACATCTCCAGAGAAAAGGCCAGTAATAAATACTGCATTTTCAGATGTCACACTTTTACAGTTGAAACTCTCTCTTTACCCACTACACAAATATGAGCTAGAGCAGTGTTAAATGAGGATGTTTTAATAATATTATCTAACATGTTTTTATGGTTTTCCTCTTGTCTGTTTGCAGGTGGACACTCTGATCATGATGTACAAAACACACTGTCAGTGTATCCTAGATAATGCCATCAATGTCAACTTTGAAGAGGTGATCATTCTAGTCACATTTAATGTAGGCTGTTTATCAGATAAGAGGTACACCAAAAGCAGAGCAAGTTATAATCCACTCAAACTGGCAAAACTCTTCATTTGTTTTGTTTCAGATCCAGAACTTTCTGCTCCATTTCTGGCAGGGGATGCCCGACCACCTGCTGCCTCTGCTGGAAAACCCTGTGATTGTTGACATCTTCTGTGTCTGTGACTCTATTCTCTATAAGGTGAGGACAAAATAACTGCTCATTGGTTTTTATTTACAAAGACTGACAGAAGGAGCTTAAGTGACTGGCTAAACCAAGAAGGTGCAAAATAGGATACACTATTAAAATTACCCATGAATCTGACTTAGTATACTCAACTTTTACTGGAAGCTTGGCTTTTTTTCAGTGAGGAGAGGCTTAAAATCCTCTCTCTGATTCACTTAATGAGAACTACATGAGTTATTACCAATAATGTGCAATGTTTTCCTTACATGTTTCTTCTTTTTTAAGGTTTTAACAGATGTTCTCATTCCTGCTACTATGCAGGAGATGCCTGAAAGGTTTGTCATCTCAATTTCACTTTATTTATTATTTTCTAGGGTAGTTCATTATGTACATAAAGTTCAAAACCATTTCAATAAGGTCTTTCTATCTCAGCCTGCCCTCAGGTTACCCAAAACAAGATATTCTACACATCCTCAAAAATTTACAGCTGAATCAGAGTGCCTTTAGCGTCAGTATAACAACTGTTTCACTTTTAAATTTACTTTATTTGATAGAGGCTCAAGAAAGTTAAGTAATAGTAATTTAGTTTTTACAGCACTTTTCAAAGACTGGTTACTAGACAAGGTAGCCCATCAATATACTGTGAATATGAGGGGACCCAAGATAGAGCCCTGGGGGACCTCATATTAGAAAGAGGGGTTTGCGAGCAGTTGTTTCTGAGCATTACGGGAAAAGATCTGTTTGAGAGATAGGAACCAGTCCAGCACCTCATCATTAATCCCAACAGAGTATTTCAGACAACTATTTAAGACTTGAAGAATCTAAGGTTGAGCTAAGGTTGGCTAAGGCTAAGAGGGTTAGCATACAAAACAGTGAACTGTTGGAGACCCCAACCAGAGAAGTTTCTAACCAGATTTAAGTTCTTAATGAACTGATTGTCAGTCATGAAAGAAATCAACTGTATGGACACTTCTTCCAAGATCTTGATAAAAAAAATAGCAGCTTAGAGATGTGTCTGTAATTATTAAGAACAGAAGGACTGATAGACGGTGTCTTTAAAAAGGGATGAACTGCAGCATGTTTAAAATAGGAGAGGACATCAAAACTGATTTGGGAATCTGATCAGTTGTATTAATGGTGTTCATCAGTCTGTTGGCAGATATCCGCAACTTTGCCAAACACTGGGAGCACTGGCTTGCCTCCTCATTGGAGAACCTCCCAGAATGCCTTGCTGTCAAGAAACTCCCCATAGCACGCCACTTTGTGTCCTCCCTGAAGAGACAGACCTCCTTTTTACACCTGGCCCAGGTATGACTTTGACTCAGAACAGGATGGGTTGCATTTAGGAGACAGTATATTAATATTCCTCTAAACAGGAACATTTTTTATCCCTTTAATTTTCTCCAGATAGCCCGACCGGCACTGTTTGACCAGGCCATTGTAACCAGCATGGTGTCTGATATCGACAACGTGGATCTCAGCAGCATCAGCTCACAGCCTCTGCTCAGTATAAACACCACAGGAGACCAGGACCCTGATATCTACTCTGAGTGTAAGACTGAAAAAAAAAAACACTGAGCAGGTTTTTGTTCATAAAGGAGCCTTTTTCACCAGTAATCTCCTCTTTCTTGTTCCAGATGATTCCATCAGCGTCTTTCAGGAGCTGAAGGAGCTGCTGAGGAAGAACGCCACAGTGGAGTCCTTTATCGAGTGGTTGGATTCTGTGGTGGAACATAAAGTCGTCAAGGTAACAGCTGTAACAGTGTGTAATTGTGTTAACATGCTGCATTATAATAATACAAAGCTGTATTTTTATCTCCTCTGTTTTGCATGTGTAGCCCGGTAAGCAGAGTGGGCGGTCAGTGAAGAAGCGAGCTCAGGATTTCCTCCTCAGGTGGAGCTTCTTCGGGGCCAGAGTGATGCACAACCTCACACTTAACAATGCCTCCAGCTTTGGTAAGAACAAATTATTTGAGCACAGAGTCAGGACATTTTTAAAGGCTGTTGGGAGTGACCTTTGATTCTCAAATAGACTGGTATTTACCTGTAATTTGCACACAGACCCAATTGTGACTGCAAATAAGTAGATAAAGGCATGCTTCTAGTTCGTGACATTTTCAGCAATAAGAACAGATCCTGTCGACCTGTAATGACCTTTCATTTGGAGTGATCCAAACTAAAGGTCATGTCTGTGTAATTTACTTCATTTGTGTTTTATTGTAATGAAAAATCTGTATTCCCACGCTCACGTCCTGTTGTGCAGAACTGTGAGCTCTTACCCTGAGAACACTAAATTCTATAAATGTGATGAGCTGAAAAGAAACTGTGTGTTTTGGCGCCCCCTGTGGATAAGTATGTTGTATGAATTCCATTTTTGAGGACTGCCAGTCCATGTTTGATAAAGTAAGGGCCTGCACCTGAATAGTTTTTCAATAAAAGGGGACCCAAGATAGAGCCCTGGGTTACTCCATATTGAAGAGAGGAGCTTGAGAGTAGGAGGCATTTCCAAGCACTACAGCAAAAGACGTGTGTGATGGACAATAATTCTCTGCAAAACCAGGGCAAAAGTAAACTTGATTGCCCATACTTAAAAAAAGGGTTTCTGTTGAGATGAGAGTTTTTGCTTGAGCCCCAAAACATGAATGTGTTTTAATATAAATCCAGCACAAAGCTTCTTTCAGCCAACGTTGGACACAAGTTTGTGTTGCTGACATTCTTAAATTAGAAATAAATGAACCCAATCAAGAGAAACAACAGTAATTACTTATTTTCTGGGGAATAAGAAATTTGAAAACACATTTAAGCCTCTGTGGTCTTTTCGATAACAATTAATCACAGAGTGACTCAGCATATTGATATTGCTATCCTCTTTTCTTCATTACTAAGCCTACACAGTACGCTGAATACACACTCACACACACTCATACACACACACACACACTAAGGGCTAACCAGCTCAGAGCAGATTGCTATAACAGCGTCGTAAATTATAAAGGCCAGACTCACCTTGATTAAACAGAGTCTTATCATACTGGTCGCGTGCTCTCTGTTCAAACACTCACACTCAGAGTTTGTGTACGTGGTTAAACACAAACCATTTGGTGGCTCCTTCTCTGAACTCTGAATGAAGCTCAAACACACACAGAGAGTTTGAGACCGGGTCAGACAAAGAGCAGCTGGAGCCTAAAGGTCAGACAGGAGTCAAAACAGCGAGCTCAGCTGGAGTCAGGTGGTCAAATATTACAAAAAGAGAAGAAACAATGACCACTTTTTCTCTCTTTTCATTTTGGTATCTGCAGGCTCCTTCCACCTGATCAGGATGCTGTTAGATGAGTACATCCTGCTGGCTCTGGAGACTCAGTTTAATAACGACAAAGAACAGGACCTGCAGAACCTGCTGGACAAATACATGAAAAACGCAGGTACCAGAAATCAAAACCCACCTCACACAAGATCAACTCACATCAAGCCAATTTAAGTCATTTTTAGTTATGAGGGACATTGTTTATTATTCATATTAAGTAGTCCCAGATGTTTTAACAATGTGGTGTAACTTTGTCGCTCTCAGATGCCAGTAAAGCAGCGTTCACAGCCTCCCCGAGTTCCTGCTTCCTAGCCAATCGTAACAAGGCCACTTCTGCCATCGACCAATCAGTGAAGAACGAGTCTCCAGGTGAACACGCTTACATGACCCTGTCCACCAATCAGCAGCAGCAGAGTCAGGAGACGGGCACAGTGATCTATCAGGGGACTGAGCCTGCTGGGTTCACTGTTTCAGGTACTTTTTTAAAATCTGCTGTCTTGATGCATCAAAGTTTTTACAGTTTATTTCAAGTCTTCTGGGTCTTTGAAAACATGTATACAAATTCAATATACTGTAGGTCAGGTTGTACTGTTGTGAACTGGACCAACATTTATCCTTAAGTGAGATGAGAGTTTTGGTTAAACATGGGCATGTGTATTTCAGAGCCGACATGTCTTTATTGCTGTTTCTTCAGGTGTTCAGATGGACTTCTCTCAGGTCAGCGGCCACCTCATGACGCCCCCTATCTCCCCTGCAGCGTTAGTGCATCGAGGCTCCGTCATCAACCAGGGCCCCATGACAGGGAGACCCCTGACATCCACTTCTTCTTCCTCTATCTGCTCCTCCTCTTCCTCCTCCTGCCTATCTTCTCTCAGTGCCATGACCCAGCCCAGTCCCTGCTCCTCATACCAGGAGACCCTGTACCACTGCCTACCTCAGACCAGCACCAGTTATTTCTCTCCTATCAGTAGCTCCTCTGGCTCAAACTACCAGACTGCTCTCAGGTCAGCTTCTTTTTGTCCTGTGTGTCTCCAATCTAAGACTTGTGTTGTCATTGTGAGGTCGTATCATGAGTCTGCTTTGTGTTTCAGGCCTCAGGGTCAGTGTCTGGCTTCAGTCCAGTCTCAGCCCTCATCTCTGAGCTACCATCTTTCTCGGTATCCCTCCTTTAATGACCAACACCTGAATAAAGAGGTCTTCTACAGCCACCACCACTCCTCTAACAGCTCCGCCTGCTCCATCACACCTTATAACCCTGCAGTCAGATCCACATCAGGCTTCAGCTCAGGGTCAGATCCAGCTCAGACCGGACAGGGACTGGACTCCCAGACGGTCGCTCAGATTCTGGACTCTGCAGAGGGGTTTGGCTTTGTGGGGGCTGGGATGAACCCAACAGGCAGTGGGTGTCAGGGGCAGACGTACTCAGCTGCAGGACATGGAGGTAAAGATGAGTTAGTTATCTTACCTGTTTTACACTGCGCACAGAAGACAGTCGTCATTGGGCAACAAGTTGTTAACTTCTGTAACAAATCAAATACCCATCCATCCATCCATCCATCCATCCACTCATCCGTCAACTTATTTATTACATCAAACACTTCATTTTTTCCTCCACCAAAGGTAAAGCACAACCACAAGGCCAGTCTTTTCTCCTGTTGCAGGTTACTATGGCAACAACACTTACCCGGACAGCCAGCGGATGACCTCACTGGTCGACCAGCATGTGTCTGTCATCAGCACCGTGGGCAGTCTTCGCCAGTTCCCCTCAGCCTACTCAGAAGTTCACGATCCACTCAACATCCTGGATGAACCGGGAAGAAAAACAGCAGATGCGTATTTCACAGCAGCTGACAGTGGAGCAGGTGAGTTAAAAACACACAAATACACAGCTTGAAAAGGCTTGAAAGGGTTTTTGTTTTTCAAAAAGTTGGTTTTAATGTAATGTTTTTATTCCCAAATCATATTAATCAATAAATTCAGGCATGTCTGATTCATTCCAACCACATTAATCATATTAAATTATTGAATAAGGTCATTTTTGATTCTTTTAAGGAGATTTAAAGTGCAAAGATTTGGATCTCCATGATAAGTATGCTAAAACCCATTAGTTGGTCTGATCTTCCTCCTTACCCATATAGTCATGTTTCAGGTTAAAAAATGAACCAACCAAACTGGAGTGGAGAGAGTTTATTCAGTCCATTCAGCTTAATCTGATTTTTACTAATTATAAGGAGAGTTCAGTCCATCACTGATATTATGCACACACCTCCGTTAACGCTTGTTTTTAATGTCCCCTAGTGCCAAAACATTTATCTCCTACCTCATCTCTAGATCATTCCCTTCCCTCGTCCGGATCTGCTCCCTGCATGTTTGGTGTTTCCTCTCCCTTCGCCTCCCAGGATGCACTGCTGTCTCATCAGCGTGGGGCGTCCTCCTCAGAGGTGCAGGACCTGGTGTCTTCACTGCCCCCCATCAACACTGTCTTCATGGGAGCTGGTGGAGTACAATGATGTAGAATAAAGAGATAAAGACTCAATTATTATTTATATTATTTATGCATAAGTAATTTAAATCATATAAACCATGAAAACAGACAGTCTGATGCAGTTATTTTTTTCTTTTTTGGACTTAAATCCAAACCGTTTTGTTCTTTAATGTTGGACTTGATGAAGGACTTCCATTTCTTCTGTTTGCAAAATGTTGTTAATAAATCTTTATTAGTCACAATGGGCTTTTTTTCATTGTCAGGCAGCTTGACAACGCCGCTATTTATGACGGCTGAACCCACATGTATATTCATTAGTGAGGTGATATAAAGGCAGATGCAGTGCAGAGTGTTCATTCATGAAAGTTGTTATTGCAGCTGCAAGAAGGAGGCGTGTCCAATCTGTCATAGAGGGCTTTAAGGGTCTCATTTTATATCATTTTAGAAATAAATTTTGAGTTTTAGACACAAAAAAGATAAAAAGTCAAAAATTTGCAAGCTTTCCTGTCCGTCCTGATGTACTTATCTTGTTTTTAAATCCTGTGTGAGAGTAACTTAGACCACAGTTAAATATTTATTGAAAAAGAAGCCTGAATGTAAACACACAGGAACATGAGTCACACTGTTTCAGATGAATGGCAGTGACGTGGACCTCCACCCTCCCCCCGTCTTGGTGGGTTTTTGTATGTTATCTACTCAGGAGGAAAAATCCATCTCAGGTGCTCATGCAGCAGTGCAGGGACAGATGGCGGCATCTGTAATGATTACAGAATCCCCACGTTAAAATACTTTAATTACTAAGTCAATAACGGCTGCAACAAATGCATGACCTCTGGTGTAAAAACAACAGAAGGCAGAAGGCAAACTTTGGGCCAATGTTTAACCAGAATTTTGCATCAGAGCAGACAGGGACAGCCTCCACGTGAGTCCCTCTCTCTCTTTCTTTGTGATTTTAGTCTCATAAAATCTGTGCTGCAGGTAAGACTATCCTCACACACCTCTTTCATCTACAGTGAATAAATAGCAGTTCACATTTTATAACCACCAGGGGAAAAAACTGTTCAGAAGTAATGAAACATGAACATGAAAATAAAACATAAGAACAAAAACAAATCACAGGATATAAAAAAAATAAATAAAAAAGTCTTTGAAATATTTCAGAAATAGAGGTGAAAAAGCTGTTTAAGTCTGACTTCTATCTTGGATTTTGATTAACCTTAAAATGAACTGTCAAAAAAGTGAGTTCTACTTTTGAATGCATGGGTGATGTTGTTACAAAAAACAAACAGACTAACAAATGCATTTAAAAATGAATTGAGTCTGGGTTAAAACATTTTATGAATTGTGTTAAAGTTTAAAATATATATAAAGAATAATGGACAATTTTCAAATTTAAACAGTAATTTATACTCATGGAAATTCACAGGAGGAAATTCTGCTTGTTTTTTTTCTGGATTTTCAAGATAATTATCTCGTTAATTCAGTAAACAACAGTGCGCTTTTTTCTTGTAAGTGAATACAAAAATGGATTTTTGCTGATAATTTTATTTGGCAAGAAAAAAATTATATTATTTATGTGACGCAGTGAGAACAACATTAGGACTTTTCTTATTAACTTTATTTTATTTTGATGAAGTGTGGGAAGACATACAGATCACTATCATAGTTGGTCGTGTGGCGCTTCACACTGTGATATTTAGCACCAACACATCAGCAGCAAAAGGAAGCACACTTTATAATCAATCAATTTTATTGGCAAATCAAAAGCTGATACAGAGAGTTGGCCAAATGTCTAGTATTGGTGTCAACAATCTACTAAGACCAAAAATCAGTCTACTTCTTACCTGCGTGAGTCCCTTCACCCTTCAGTTGCTATGCCAACCCCATATACATCAATCAGCCTTTGTCAAAGTCACTAACATTACACCCCTCAGTTTATCCTGATTATTAACTCAAAGGACAAAATGCTTGAACTGATTTGTTGCTGTAAACATATATACTGTATGTAACAGTAAGGAAGTCTGTATCAGAGGGGATGTACTCTCACTGCTCTCCTAGGCTTTTAAATGGGACAGACACAAAGCTTTAAAGTTGTCAACTAGAGGGCAGCAAACTCACATATTAAACCCTGATGCACTATCACAGGAGGCGTCTGTCTGTGTGCTCAGGAAAGAGAGATTGGGGCAGAAGTTGATTGGTTTACCTTCAAGAAAAGTCTTTAAAAATATTTTTTTTTCTTTTCAGTGCAGCAAAGTCAAGGTCTCCATTTACGGTCTAAAATGAAGCGGGTTTGTCTGAAAAAATATTTTCTGCTCTATTGATTTTTGGAGGTTTGTTGGTTTTCAAGTTCAAGCTCCCGGCAAGAGGATGTTACAAAAATATATCAGAAAAAAAAACATAATTGCTTATTAGAAATTTACTATGCTTTGTGTTCAGAAACTAACTTTGACTTTCTTGTATTAATAATATGGGCAAAACATTGAATCACAAACTGATTTGAAAATGTATAAACACCATCATTGAAACAAATATATAAGGTTTGCAAATTTGTGTAATGTTACAGTTTTATTATTTATATATCTATATATTTTATAACTAAATAATTCACCATCATTTGGGACAACTTTTACGTAACACTGTGAGAAACTGAATTTCCATGCTCATTTTGTCCAAAAGTTTAGTTTTCTTAACTTGAAAATGAAAATGAAAGCAGGGACCGGTATTTTAATTTTCTTTCCCCATTGCAATGAAAGAAATTCTCTTCTTCCAAATCTAAAATTTTCCAGCACTAATTGGAAAGTTGAAACGCCAACAGTATAGGTGAAATAGAGCAACAATCCAGGAAAATGAAAAACCATCCATCTGGGAAAGCCGGACTCATATAAATCATATTATTGGAAGTCTAAAACAATCATCTGTTTGAATTCTTTGTTGTTGGGTCATGTGGCAATAGTGGGCTGTGTTTCAGATTGACTCTTGACACAAAGGACTCTGCAATCTGTGTTTGTATGTGCGAGTCATATGTTGTGAACCTGTAGTGTGAGAGCTCTAAAATAAACTGAGAGTAGCATTAGTTCATGCAGGCGACAAGGTAGTGATCAGCCTATAGTACATCAGCTGATCTAAATGCCACCTTTATCAGCTCACAGTGTCGCTGATTACCTGAATTTACTAGTGTTGCATGTCTTGTCACTGATGCCTGCTCTCTTCTGTACTTGGGGGTATTTGCTACTGCTCTTCCTGCCTTGGATTTTCATGAAATTAATTTTCTGACTGAAGTACCATTTTCACCACGACAGGTGAAATCGCAAATACCCAGAATAACACTTTGCATGTATTCTTTTATGATTTGCTTTATTTACCTATAATGTCTGCAATTATTTACTCATCTTTAAGTCTTTTTAAATTTCCTCTTTCTCTGTAATAATAACAATCGTAGTCTGTTCATCGTAGCCACCAATTTTCAGACTTTTAAAGGTTAATTCACCTGTAAATACGAAAATAAAAAAGAGGTTGATTGTTTTGGGCTTATCCTTTAGTCTGCTGTCTTCACAATGAAACAAAAGCTGAGATTTTCAAGTTTAATTCAATGTTTTACTCAACAGAGCCTTTTAAACAGCCTTCAATAAAATAGTTTCTCTGTATCTCCAAGAACTGAGCATTTATTTTCAGACAGCTCACATTTTGATCAAGTGCAACACTTGTTCTTGTGATTGTTTTATAATAGGTCAGTGCATGGCAGCATGGATGAATAGTTAATGAGAGGCATTCAGGAGAAGACCCTCATATTCGACAGACTACTTTGATAAAGTGCTCAGCTATTAAACATGACCTGGGTCAACTACTGCTGATATTACAACAGAGAGGAGACTTTTTATTCAGCAGGGACAATGTGTGACATGCAAACATTACCTGAAAAAAACAGACGAATAAGACTGAAAGGGTCATGGTTCAATTGCTCCTAATGATATCACTTTAAAAAGATATGTATCAGCATAGGTGGCTTTTACAGGCGAAACATAATTTATCTCAATGACAGAGAAATCAGATCTTTATTATTTTTTTTACCTTGTGCTGAAATGACGCCAGAATTTTTGGTAACATGTTATACTTTTATATTTATACTCCTGTGATTTATTTCTGAAAAGTATGTTTCTATTAGACATTAAAACTAAGAAACAAAGTTAATATCATCGTGGCAAAGATTTCTAACTGGCCCTCCTCAGTCCATATAGATATGGCATTCCTATTTTAGAGAACAACTGAGCTTTTCCAGAAAATGAAACTACATATTTGAACTACATGTTTATGATTAATTTCAGAAGAATTATGTCTCAAATAGAAATCAAACAATAATGAAGCTCATATATTAAAGTTCTGTTTGATTTTTGGGGACAACACCTTTACGTGGAAAGTGGTCTAATGCCTTTAAACCCCAGTTTAGTCCTTGTACCACAGTTAAAGGAGACACAGCAGTCGCCTTGTTCAGAAAATTAATCGACATACTAAAAATGAAATGGTGAATCGTTTCCTTAAAAAGCATCACTGTTGAAAACCTTTCAGAAAATGAATCTAAGACTATAAAGGTTTGTTTTTACAGACCAAATCTCTATGTGGAAAGTGGTCTTTATGATTTTTAGGCTGTTTGGTCATAAAGGAGACTTTCCTTTTATTGAGCCTTAATTAGAAAGTTGTACAAGTATTTTAAAGTACAATATGTGTTTGATTTTTTTTCTAAAATAAATAGCACAAAAGGTCTGCTTTCTCCGATCAAGATTTTGTAGAAAGCGGCATACGGATCTAGCTGTGTGTACTCTATACTCCAAATCATAATAAAAGAATCATGATTGAGTGCTAAACACATTTGAAATTCAGCGCTTGAGTTTGGTTGTAAATCAGGTTGCTTGTTTGGTATATACAGAGAATACAAAGGTAGCAACATGATTTAAGAGTGATAAAGTAAAGGAAAGCAATTTAAATAATAGGACATTTAGGATTAAATGTAACCTAAGAAACAGTGTGGCACTTTTTAATGTGGATGCATTCAGAAGAGCTGCTTTCACTGAACAGTTATGATACGCTCGAAATTTTATGGAATCCACAGAGTAAATATTGTTTTGTCCAATATTTCAAGCACAATTATTTTTATATATTCCAAAAAAAAAAAAAAAATCCA